CATTTGCACAATATTCTAATTTTTCGAGTTTCACCTGTATGTTCCTTTTATAAATATTTTTAAGTAGCTTCATCTAAAGGTTTAGTATACCTATCTGTCAGGGTTATAGGGAAGCAACCTTTTAAATAACAACCACATTAAAACAAGTTTATTTTTTCAGTGAAGACTGTGGGTTGTTGGAGATGTTTTGTTTGTTTTCTGATTATGCAAAAGAAAAAGGTGTGTTCTGAAATACTGCACTAGGTTTAGTTCATATCTTTAAAAAAATCAGTTTAATAAGTTGGGTTGTTGCCTCTTAAGCAATTGAATCAAATCAGTTAAAGCCAGTCTCCAAAGGAATACTGCATTGACAAAGCACTTCTAGCTGATCCACCCTTACTGTGGCAGCTGCTCCATTATATGTAGCACTTTTGATGTGTCTCATGCTTTAGAAACGGGGAAGGGAAGGTGTGAGAAGAGAGTTTCTTCACCACCAGTGACCAAATCAGAATTTGACTAGAAGAGAACCCATAGAACATAGTAAATGACTCAGTGAAAATGAGTTAGGATTTGTTTTTGTCCCAATGTGCCAATAGTTTACATTTACCCTACATTTCCTTCTATTAGCCATTTGATTTGGAAATACTTTTGTTACAAGATTTGATTTTTCCACCCTTAACTTTACCAAGCTGGGCATTCTCACTCATCATTCTGAACTCCAAATCATGTTTGAACAGTTCCTTAGAAGCCTCCATTTCAGCAAAGCCCCATTTATTCCAACTTTTTGCTTTCTTTTATCTAAAACTGAAGGATCTGTAGAGGATCTGTTTTCCTATCCCATGTCTAAATTTACTTAGAAGCCTTTGCTTAAGGGCTTCATCATACATTTTGGAGATGGGTGGGTAGGGTTGGCTTTGAAAGTCCAAATTTACATGACTGGGTTCACATATTACAGTATGCCATGATTAACTAAGTTTCTTGAATGAACTATAATTGGCTGAATTCACACACTAAGACAATTCACACTAAGACAAAGCCAAGCAAGCCACATTATGGCTTAGTATAATCTGTGACTTAGCTATTGCCTACAAAAGCTTTCCTAAGTACTTGTTAATACATGCAAAGTTCATTCAAAGGTTTTTGAGATAGAGGTTCCCTTTGCCCAAGCTGTATTAATTCTTCTTCAACAACATTTGCACTTCTATATTCATTAATCAATTTGGCTAGAGTAGAGATAACCTGAGTGTTGTTATAAAAATGGGCATTTCCCCAACTTGTTTTTAATGGTGTTGTGTTGAGTGCTTTCAAGTGTGTGAAAAATATTTAGATATCTATATTATTGTAATTATTTATTGTAAATTAATAACAGTTATTTTTTTAACAATTCTAGTCCATAGAAACCCATCTAATCAGGAAATCCAGCAATGGTTTAATGTACATTGCTGAGTGGAAAGGTGGCCTGCTTGAACACAAAATGGGTCATCTTACTTGTTTTGCTGGAGGAATGTTTGTTCTGGGTGCAGATGGAGCACCAGCTGATAAAACTGGACATCACATTGAACTTGGGGCTGAAATTGCCCGCACATGTCATGAATCTTATGATCGTACAGGTAATTTTAAACTGTTGAGTATTGCTGTTCTGCCTTTAAAATGTTGCTTATTCCAGTACTTGAATTCAGGGCAACCTATTTGGCTTTTTCCCTTCAGATTGATATAAATTATATATAAGACATTTTTATTACATGTAGTTCCTACCTTTACATATTATAGAGTTAGAAGAGTGCTTAGAAAGTTTTCCAACTTTCAGAAATGTGTTTTATGCTTGTAGGGGAAGTGGTTGTGTTGCCTATAACAGAGATGGGGAATATATGGCCCTGCAGATTTGCTGAACTACAGCTCACAGTAACCCCAGCTAGAATGACCAATGTTGAGAGAGCTTTAATTGGACAACATCTGGAGAGCCAAATTCTCCTCATCACTTGCCTGTGACAGTGTTCTTCTTCTTTGGCATCAATAGTCTGATGTGAAAATTAGTATTAAAAATTCTCCATTATACCATCTAAAAATATTTTGTTAATATATTCAGAAGCAGGGTAATACTGTGTGGCGGGGAAAGGGAGTGATTTTCTTCAAAGGCTAATCCTATGCATTGAGGCTTAAGGGGAGACATTCCACAGAGCAATAAGATATCTGGAATCTTGGTAGGTCAGAGTAGCCAGAGTAGGAGGTAGAGGAATGTTTTTTGCCTTTCCCATTCTGATTGATTGTTTTTCTTTTTAAATTCTCCTTTCCATGGGAGTTAATGGGCAAGAAAATAGATATTTGGCTAAAAATATCCAATTAGTGGGGCTATCACTAGATGTCTGGCAATTAGGTATCTGTCCACAGAACTTTACAAAGGTGAACCTGAATCCTTTATTGTATATATATTGTTACAGAGCTTTTCTCCACCAATCATGCAACATACCAATATCATCCTAATCTTCTCCAACCAGATTTTTAAATAATGGTAGCAAACTTTGTAATACTGTCAACATATTGATTGTGTACAGTAGTTTCACAAATATAAGGGAAAGGTTATCAAGCTCTCACTCATTCTGAAATGCAAAAAAGTGTGTAATGTGAAACCTAGGTTTGCTACTGTTGAAATAAATTCTATAGTAGATGCCAGGCAATTTCACAAGCACCAATAAAATAAACACATCTCCAAGATTGTGCATGAACATGCAAAACTTCATGACAATAGGCATTCAGGTAGATTTCCACTCTATAGATTTAAACATTTTGGTTTGTTTAATTTGGGGTCCACAAATGCCATCTTGGGATTTTATGAATTCCATATTACCAGCTTCTGCTCTACAGATGTGATATAGTTTCTTTAAAAAAAAAATTAAATTAATGCAGTGTATTCCCCAGAAATTTTGTCGTATTTTTACATCTGAGTTTAATTTTCCTAATTGTGGTTTAATTTGAATAGTTGTGTTAATTTGTGTAAAACTTAAATTGGTTCAACAAGAAAGATGTGTTTTAAACACAATAAAACAGTGTTTAGCAACATTTCATGGTTTTAGACACCATTACACAATTTTGCATAGTGGCCCAGGTAACTTTCCAAAAAATATTTTAGTAAGATAAGGCCCTACTTATTAGAAAAAGTATTTCAGGATTGCTCCAACCATTGTTTTTCTTATACAGATAGTCTTCACATAATGACTGTTCATTTAACAGTCCAAAGTTACGACAGCCTCAGAAAAAGTGCTTTATGACCATCGCAAACCATCACACATACACCCAGGCCACATGATCACAATTTGAGTGCTTGGCAACCAGCTCACATTTACGACCAGTTGCAGCATCCTGAAGTCTCATGAATCATAATTTGTGACCTTTTTTGCTGATTTCTGGCAAAAAATGTCCATTGGGGAAGCTGGATTCACTTAACAACCACGTGATTCGCTCAATGAACACAGTGATTTGCTTTACAGCAGTCATAAAAATGGTCATATAATCAGGTCCAGTCATGTGACTCCCTTAATGACCACCCACTTAACGACCAATTTTCCAGTCCCTATTGTGGTCATTAAGCGAGGACTACCTGTATTTGGACATTTCTCAGCTATTGATGCCCACAGCACATATAATTGGAATTTTTACAGCAAGGGTGGGCAACCTTACTGCCCCTGGAGTTTGTTCTGATCACCATTCATAAAAAATTGTTCTGTCATACAAGTTCCTACCATGTTGAGGCAGGAAACCCATTAAAGCTACTGTATAATGTAAAACTTAACAGAGTTTTCCCCTTCAAACTAAGTAGAACAGCTCTACCTGCTTTTCATCATTGTTCTGTCTGCTGTGGCTTTTCAGATTCCAAAATTATTTAGTGGCTAACAAGAGGTTACCAATCCCCTTGTACAGCAGGACAATCCTATATTTTGGAGTTCAGAATTATACGATGCAATAAGGTAATTCACATATATTAAGACCATTGTTCTTTACTAAAACTTGAATACTTTAATATTGTGTCTAGGCATGAAATTGGGGCCAGAAGCTTTTAGATTTGATGGTGGAGTTGAGGCGATTGCTACCAGACAGAATGAAAAATACTATATCTTACGACCTGAAGTTATAGAAACCTATATGTATATGTGGCGATTCACTCATGACCCCAAGTACCGTCAGTGGGGTTGGGAAGCTGTAGAGGTAACACATTTAAATTATTTCTTTGAAGTATCATATAATTTATATATTTGTCATTTTAAAGAATCATTTGAGTTTAGTGCTCAATATATAAAAAACAATACATTGTTTAAATGGATCAGAAATATAATTGTATTTGCCCAATAATTCCTTAAAATGTAGGCTCCGTTTTGTCTCATGCAGATAAAAGACATTTGAGAGATTTCAACCATTTCCAACTCTTTTTATATCTATTCTTTAGGAAAAAGAAAGAAAATGGTACACTTAATTTATTATACTTAAAGCATAATTGGCCATAGTTGTTAATATTTTCATTTTTTTAATCAATTTGTCTGTTTTTATCTTTGCAATCCAATAAATTCAAAGGAACAAGATAGGAAAAAAAATCTAATGCATGTTTTTTGATGATAAGACAACTCTGAGTATGAACAGAATCCTTCATATCTAACAGAACTAAAATGTCAAATGGATGTCATCCTTCTTCTATAATCAGAAACCTTTTTCATCTTGTAATGTAACCAGATTTAAAGCTTCTCAGTTCCCCAAGAGGGATTAAGGTCACTTTCTTGATCAGCATTATTGTGGGGCTTGCAGCTCTAATTTCTTTTTCCAGTCGTTACAGTGGAGTCTGCTAGGAAAAAGCTGATCTTTTGTAGTAAAATCCAAGGAGGCTACATCCCTTATTCTTGCCCTATTTGGCATGTTGGCCAAGAAATGGTATGCTCCTGTCAAAGCCTGGCTATCTCAATTTGCTCATCCCAATCCCAGTTAGGGGTGTTCTCATTATTATTTCAATTATTTATATTTGTATTTTCACTGAGATTAATTTCTGCTGAAATGAGCACTTGGTCAGTCATGCATCAAAATTGCAGTAAAATTAACAACTTAAAAGGACAAAACAGATATGAAAACAAATGTTTACCATGATGTCCAAATAATGCAATATAAAAATATACATAAATTAATATCTGTAGTGCAAAATGTACTTGATGGAAACAATAGGGGTAAACTCCATACCATAGTCCCTGTTTCTTCATACTCCCTATTTATTCATACAAATCAGGCTCTGAATTAGAAAAAGACAGTTCCTATGTTTCAATAAAAATACTGTAATGGGAGTTATAGTAAGATTCTTACATTAATGTGACTCCAGATTTCAGTACGACTTGATTGAGATTTTTTATATTGAATATGCTACTGTTCTGATAATTGCTTTAAATTTAGAATTGTGAAGCAGTATTATAGCACAAATTACCTTGCAATGTTTTGCACTGAAATGCATGAAAGATGCTTATAAAATGCCATCAAATATTCTTCTTTTTGAAATTCAGGCACTGGAAAAATATTGCAGAGTAGATGGTGGCTATTCTGGTCTTAGGGATGTTTACAGCAACCGTAAAAGCCATGATGATGTGCAACAGAGTTTCTTCCTTTCAGAAACACTCAAGTAAGCAATTGAACATGAAATGAAAATGAAAGAGCTGTGAATTAATAATCTTTGAGTCGGAGCAGTAAGTAGCTGAAACTAAGTCTGTGTGAAGCAAACACAGATTTGCTTTAATAAAATAATGTGGGTTGAGGAGGCAACCTGATTTGCTTCAAAGAAGCAAAGAGGTCAGCTGAATCTCCTTGGTGAAACATGTAGGATCATCTTGAATCCCTTTGCAACCAGTGCTGTGGGAGAAGGCTTCTCCCAGCCTTCTTTCCTACCACTAGCTGAACTGCTTCTGGGTTGGGTGGCTTTGGATTGCCTGTGATGTTTGCTGAAGCTACCCAGCCTGGAAGGCCTTCGATATTTGAACTGAAGCGCCCATTTAGAGCTTTGCATAGCAGTATCTGAAACTATCTCCAGGCATAAAGGAGACCGTTGAAGAGTTGGAGATGGGGATTGGGGAAGCAGGAGAAATAGACCATTGAATCCTTGACCAAGAGAAACAAGCAGGACAGCAGGTTATTCCTGTGGTCCTGGAAGCAAGAAAGTTTCTTAAGCGGTATCATCTCTGTCTCGTCTGAGCAGATGTCAAATGTTGGTCTAGTAGAGAAGAAATGAGATGTGCCCTGTCAGCCATGAATGTTTTAGTTACTTTGAACAAGCTTCTCTTTTTTGAATCTCAGTCCTGTCCCTGAAACAAGGGAAAAATGGGAAGTTACTGAGTTACTGGGCAGATTCAATGTGCTATATAAGAATGATTTGTGGAGTGTGGCAGAGGACAAGTAACCAGATTGTTTTAAGTGGAAGGGCTGATTTTTTTTAAAAAAGTATAGGACAATGGTAATAATTATTGTTGAAATACAGTTGCCTGTCTCTTTTTCCAGTGGAAGTCTGGACACTTCTCAGTGAAATACTAAGCAAATTCTTAATATAATAAATTTTCAATATAAATAAAATGATTATGTTACAACTACTATGTATTTCTAGTTTTATAGTGTATTAATAATGCATTTTTGTTGTTCTTTGCTAGGTATTTATACTTATTATTCTCTGAAGATGATATTCTTCCATTTGAACATTGGGTCTTTAATACGGAGGCGCACCCTTTCCCAGTTATTAAAAGAGGAAAAGAGAAAAAAGAAAGCAAATAAAACTATTTTGAATTTTGTTTGGGCACATTATATGGCTGTTAATGTCCTAGCTGTCATTTTTGAGTTTTAAACCAGGTTTTGTTTCTTGTTTTGTTTGTTTCTTATTTTGTTTGTTTGTTTTTTGCAGTCTGCTATCAACCTGGCAATCTTTATCAAGGGACCCAATGTGATTAATTTTAATTATTAATATTTATGTTTTCCCAGAAAGTAACATGTCATCTCTAGATTTTGTTGACCACAATGTGCATTTGATCAAACAGAATACAGAATTCAGCATGTTACTTACTTTTTACTTTATGTTTAGACTGCAAAATTGTTTTCTCCTCTGTGAGGAGATGTCTGCTTTAAGCTGTAATACTTTGCTGTGTTGCAAAAAGCCATAAAGAATTAAGTATGAAGAGCTTTTTTCTTTTTTACATCTGTTCCAGTGGGATTTGTCTGATCAGTGGAGACAAATCTAGCTGTGACAGCCTCTTCTTATGCGGGTCTATCATTAATTGGTAATTGGAATACTTAGAAAGATGTAATATTCATATAAACCAGATATAGTTTTATCTGTATATACCATTACATTGAACTGTGGCTTGTCTTGGAAGCCTGGATTATGAAATCTTTTTCACATATAATTTTAGAACATATTTGCATATCAAGCCTAACCATAGATAACCTTGGTGCCCATCTTTTTTTTTTTTCTTTTGGTCTCTGAATTTGTTTCATAAGCAACCATGAAATTGAGTTGACTTCGAGACATAGCTTTACAGATCCCCTTTGAGACTACATAGTTCTCAAAGTCTGTCTTGGTGAACATGGAGGTTCAGCAGTATTTTCACCAGAAGGAAAAATCTGTTTCCTGTAAAACCTTAGTTGTTATGCAGGATGAATTAATCTAATTTGTGTTTTGAAATGTATCCTATTTAGAGACTGGTTAGTCTGGTTCTATAAGTCTGTTATTGCTATTTCCAACATTCCATTAGCATTATCTTCCACTTAATGAATATTGGGCACAATGATGTGGAAAGAGGAGGATAATATACCTCAAAGGTACCATGTTTTAGAAGTTCACATTGTGGCTCTAATTCTCTTTTGAAAGAATTGACCACAGTACTTTAATGCTTTGCTGCAGGGGGTGGGGGGACCTAAACTGTTCCCTTGTTTATCAAAGTGATAATGTTGACTGATTTTTTTGAGTTTCATTATGAAATGGTTCTTTTTCCTGTTTACATTTGGGATGCTTCTGTAAATAGAATAGTTTTAATTAGTGACATTAAACATGACGAGTTGGGGTGAATTTTATATGATTTGTCATGTTTAGCAGCCTTCATGTAAAAAAGCAGAATTTTGTGGTAAAGAAAGCTGGGGAGGGATGTACAACAGAAGGGAACTTGTTATGGTAGCCTTGCTTCTTTAGGTAGCTTTTAAAACTGAATGTTGGCTATCTTCTAGTCTTAAAAGATTCATTGCAGTCCTAAAAGTTGTATTTACCATACAGTGACACATCATCCTACACGGACACTCAAATAGATTAACACTGTTACTGCAAACATATTTATGCTATCAAATTTAACTATAAAAGTTTTGAGCCAAGTTAAGATGACTACTTGCAAAATTGCATAAACTTACTCCCTGATCCACAGACAACCTGATGATACCTAATGTGTGTCAGTATCTGCACTGATGTGAGGCTTTGTAAAACTTGCTACACCTCAGTATAACGGTTTTCTCTGCATTATGGCTTAGTGCAACTCTACTTGTGAACCTCTTGGATGATCATATTGTGCTGGGTTCTAGGTTTGGCCATAACAGTATCTTATCTGTGATCCAGCAATCTGAATAGGAGAACCACAAGCAATAATTCCCCTTCTTGCCCCCACCCTCCCAATTTTACCTGAATCCTTTTCTGTGTCTCTCTGTGCCAGTTTGCAAATTGAGCTTCACACACCCTCCAAATCTTAAAAACTATTCTGAGAATCAAACATGGCAGCTGAAGAATCAGTGAGAAAAGTTATTAGAGGAATGAGGACTGACATTCATGCATATTTGGAACAGGACTGTTACAGCTAGCAAATTATTTTTATACTAAGGTATTTCTGGGTACAAATCATGTCATTTCTTGATTACGTGGAATACTACTAACATGCATATAATTCTGAATATCAGTCAAATTGAAAAATGCTTTTCATTTGTTGAGCTCTTGTGTTTTGTGTTTGCTTCTTTACACACTGAAGTACCTTTACATTAAGTTTTCCAAATGCTGATTTACAAAAAAGCAAATACTTTTTCTAATGTGGAACATTGGGGCAAATTAATTTCTGCTTTATTTCTAGATTTTAATGCTTATAAGTGTGACCTGGAAAAGAACATGTAAGAATTATATCATAAATAACCCATTTTTACATAGGCACAGTTGCTTTTCTTGCCATAATATCTGGAATAAACAATGAGGTTTCTTTTGGGTTACAGTAAGTATTACATTACAGATATAACATAAAATTAATTACCAAATAAAATTAACCTCTTTTATTAGCAAAGAAAGATAGCTTTTGTAGCTGCTCAGCATGTTAACTAATAAGACATATCTGCAGTGTATAATTACATAGAGTGAGCAAAATCAACATATGTACTGCTGTACAGGGTTTTTTTTATTATTATTCAGACTGATACAAATCTTCTGGTATTGACTGACCAAGATATTTTTAAAATCAATGCACTTTCTGAAAGCAAGCAGGGCAGCAATCATTTGTGTAGCTAATAATGTGCAATATTATTGGTTCAGAGCCATTTTTTTAAATTTATGTAGCGGTTTTAATGTAAAAACACAGTTTATTTCCATTTCTTAATCCTTATTGTTCCAACTGAAGTGCCATTTTTACTTTCTTTGGGAGCCACCATTGACGGTAAAAGTCTGTTATGGCCTCTAACCTTGAAATCTTTTTCACAAAACATACCGTAAGCTATTATTCCACCTTATGATGCTGCTACTGCCATGACTTGCCTTGCGACATCCGACAGATGATCATTAAATTCTTAGTCCTGTTCAAGGCCCTTTGAAGAACACTTTTTGTTAAACATTTTAATTTCCTAAAAACAAACGAATAAAACTAAAAGCTGATTACATGGTATGACTCTCCAAATACTTCATGTTTGTTTTGTCAGTAGTTCTCCAAGACTCCACTGTCTTGTAGGACCATTAGTAGTCCTTTATTGTACTAATCCACTGTTTCTCTATCTTCCACATACATCCTTAACATATCATGAATAATTTCCTCAATGGTATGTTTATATGAAGGTATTTGGAATAGCTAATAAATTGTCCCCATTTTTAAGGCTACAGTCCAAGGGTGGGGTTTTGGGGGGCGGGTTTGTTTTGGTTAATAACTAAGTGTTCCAAGACTGTACATCATTGTACTTAAATATCCTTCACAGAAATACTCTATTAGGCATCCAGCAGTCCAGTTCCAATACTCACCAGCTTGCTACCAAAAATGCGCCAATTAAAAAAAAAAAAAATACAAGGGAATTATTTCACTTAACTGTTTCTAATCATTATGTTTAGTTTGTGAAGCAGGTATTGCCTCATACATGGTTCTTGCCACATCCCCCTCTTTTTTTTTTTTTACTGCCAGTCCTCCAGTGTGTACTGCATCGAGGTGCCATTTGGGGTAAATTGGACTCTGACCTGCTCACATGTAACCTTAAGGTTTCCATATTGTGTGAACCTAGCCATTGTGGTTTATTCAATAAATCATGGGCCAGTGAACCATGGCTTAATTTAATGTCTGTGAAGTCATTAATGTTTTCCTGTGACCATCGTTGTCTGCTTCTATAAATCAAATGAAAAATGAACATATAAAAACAGTGGGAATTATACCCCACCCCCTTTTCCATCCTTTAGAGGCAATTAATTGTGCATAATCTTAAAAACATTGACTCAAGTGTTTTTATCAATTTTGTATTTCTTTTTATGGGGAGTTGTAAACTTCTCATGGGTGTTATTATTTAAAAGAGCACAAAGTTTCTATAGTTCTATAACTTAGAGGTAATCAGGTTGTATGTACAAACTGCACTAATGTATCTTTTTGTAAAGTGATGTATGTAGACAAGAAGATTGTATATCCCTTAGAACTGCAAAATATAAAAGAATCATGTTTTATATCTTCAAAATGGCAATGTTGAGTTTTACAGAAAACTGCCAAAGTATAAAGCTTCAGATTGATTGCCATGTTAAAAGTTATTGCAGAAACCCTGAAATTATTTACAATGGTGTGAATAGCTTCAGATTATCTTTTTTAGATTTTACTAGCAATGTCACACAAGCAACTTTGAGACTCCCTTTTATTCCTCCAGAGATGACTAAATTAACGCGACCACTGTGTATGTAGTTTAAAAATAAAGTAACTCTATTTTTTTTAAGTGTCTTTTCCAGATTAGACAGCGTCTAAATTTTCATTGCTCTTTAGCATATCACAATGTAGTTGTTCAAATACTTAATATACAAAACCCTGGAAACTCTTAATTTAAGTGCCCTGTGTGTTGTACGACAGCTTTATCATTCCAAATGACACTTTGTTGGCAAGGTAAACTGACCACGCAGTCATTTTGTTACGATGTTTTTGTTTGTGCATATTCCACTTAGTCTTTTTCCACCTTTATAGAAATATCTGGTTACAACAGATCAAAATGCTTAATTTTTAAGAATTATATTTGTAAAAAAAATCTATTGTGAATAAAGTCTTTTAATAAATCCTTTCATTTGGCAGAGTGTGTTCATGTATGTATGGTTATTGAAGAGGTACGAATAGTAAATTGCAATAAATGAAGGAAAATCTGGGCTGACTACATGGAAGATAATGAAGCAAAACTAGGTTTTCCGGTTGGTTATTTCATTAGAACACATCAAAAATTAACATATAAACTTCCTCCAGAGTTAGACATGAACCCAGTTAATTCATGACATACAGTCAGCAGTGTACAACAAATACTGTAAGTAAATAAATTTAATTTACTGCATCTGTCCAGAATCTAACAATAGGTTTTCTTAAACATGCTGCCTGTAAATTTTTTTTTTTTAATGTTTTTTTTATTTTTACAACAAACACAAAACAAACATGAACAAACATGAACAAACAT